CGGTGCCGAGAGTATGACTGGGTCCTCACCCTGCAAGTCCGGGCTGTGCTCTGTCCCCGAGCCTGAGGGGCCCTGGTCCATGCGGGTCATAGCAGTGAGGCTGCCAGCAGTCTGGGCAGCATCTGCCATCAGCAGGAAGGTCCAGGGTGGGGAAAGGGCTGTGCTGCTGGGCTCAGCCTGGGGTGGCACCAGCTCTCCAGACAGATCTCCTGGGGAGCGGACGTGGGGGAGAGGCTGGCTGGGCCCTGGAGGTGGGGTGTGTACCCCCTCCCCCCCCTTTTAAAATTTTTTTTATTGATTTTATAGAGAGGAAGGGAGAGGGATAGAGAATTAGAAACATCCATGAGAGAGAAACATCGATCAGCCACCTCCTGCACATCCCCTACTGGGAATTGAGCTCACAACCAAGGTACATGCCCTTGACTGGAACTGAACCAGGGACCCTTCAGTCCGCAGGATGACGCTCTATCCACTGAGCCAAACCCACTCTATCCACTGAGCCAAACCCAGTAGGGCCCCTTTTTTGATTTCAGCTACGAAGTTCCCGAACAGAGAGAATTTCCCTCTTAACTGTCTCCTGAATGTTAACATCCATTAAATGGGGAGACGAAAGGGACCCTGGATTGCCCTGGCCCTCGGCTGCAGCTCTGCGGGAGACGTGCACTCGGGGACTGGGTGTGTCAGTCAAGGCCTGTGACTTCCCTGGCCCCAGAGTGAGACACAGCCTCCTCAGGAAAGAGACAGGGCTGCTCAGAGCTGCGCGGGCATGGGGCTCCCCGCCTTCTGGCCCAGCCGCTCCCCTCCCATCACAACTCCCACTGTGCACCACAGGGCATTCTGGGACATGACATTTGCTCTGGCCTGACTGTTAGATTTTCAACTACAAAGGCAAAAAGGCCATGGTAAGTTAATAGATAAGGCATCTGTGGTACGTGAGATCTCACAGTGATTTTCGATTTTACTCTTCTTACCCTTCCCTTTACTTATTCCAGGCCTCTGTATTACTCAGGTTCCTTGGAGAAACAGCCAATAGGATAGACAGTTGCCCCTTGAACACTGCAAGGCTTCAGGCATGAACACTCCATGCAGTTGAAATCCTTTATAGTCCCCGGAAGCTTACCTACTGATTGCTTCCTGTGACCAGAAGCCTTGTACACAAGAGTTAATTAACACACCGTGTAAGGCACTCGGCCAAGTGCTGAGCAGGCAGTGGCCAGTAGTTTTCATGGAACTTCTAGTCTAATCAGGGAACACCAGCTTTAAACAAGCTCAAGCATAAGTAAATATATAGAAGTTGAGTTAAATATTACCAAAGAAAAGTAAATGCACGTGAGAGAAAATTAAGGGAGAAAAGAATTTTAATTTTTAAAATTTTAACAAGTATTACAACCAACAAGTATATAAGTGAAACAACAAATTGATGTTTCTCTCTCTCCCATTCCCTCTCTCTCAAGTCAATAATTAAAATAAAAAAAATGATAACAAGTATTGATGAGGAAGAAATGGGAACTGAGGCACCGAGGATGGCGTGTAAAAGGGTGCAGCCACCTTGAAAAACAATTTGGCAGCCCATCAAATGCTACACAGAGTAAATCTTTGATCCAGCAATTCCACCCCCTAGGTATACACCTAAGACAACAGAAACATATGTCTACGCAAAGAACTTCTAGACAAATTTCATAGCAGCATAAGTCATCGTGGCCAAAAGGCAGAATCAGTCCAAATGTTCATCTGGTAAATAAATAAATAAACATAGTAAATCCATCGCATGGATCACTCAGCCTCAGAAGGAATGAAACTCCTATACAAGGTGCAACACGGGTAACGTGGAAAACACTCTTTCGTGCTAAATGAAAGCAGCGGACCCAAGAGTCCATACGCTGCATGATTTCATTTATGCAAAGTGTCAGAATAGGCAAATTCACGGAGATTAAAAACATTAGTGGTTGCCCCGGAGCTGAGCTGGGAATGGGGAGTGACTGCTAATGCAGAGGTTTCTTTTGGATGTGAAATATTTTGGATGCATTAATCATAGTTATTTTAAACTTTCTTTCAGGTGACTCTGATATCTGGTCACTTGTAGGTTTGTTCCATTGTCTGAATTTTCTCTTGCTCCCGTTTCTGGTGTGCCTGTTCATACTTAATCCTGGGCATAGGTATTGAACATGCCCATGTGGTGCCTCCACATGGCATTATTGGCCCTCGTCCCCAGCGGTGATATCGACTGAGAAGAGGCCTTTTTAATTGTGTCAGGGGCGGCAGGCCCTCAGGCTGAGCGCCAAACGCTGTGGGAATTGATCTGCCCCTGGTGCACCCCCTCTTCTGGCTATTCTTCCAGCCCAGACCTGTGGCCGTTACCGAAGTGTGTCTTCCTATGTGGGTCAAGAACTACACCATTTATTTTCCTGACATACGAGTCTCTGACAAATTGCATTTCAGATGCTTTGCTTGATTTCCTGGCCCGAAGCCCTGTGCTGTGAACAGCAGGCAGCAGCTGGGGACTGGGAGGAAACAGGTGCTGTGGGTTGACTTTTCTGCACTCATGTACTTTTAGGGGTTAGGACTCCTCACATTGTCATGGCAAACTAGGACCTCCCCCCCCAAAATCCCCTGCGGCAAGCTAATCCCCCAACTTGTCTCCTCCAGCAGCGCTTAGTGCAGAGAGCTCTGATCCACACCCAGAGGCCCCCTCAACCCCCTGCGGTGGATTGAACACTCTCCCCGGCTGGGGACACCGCTCCCCACAGAGCTCGGCTTGCCCTGGGCCGTGGGACTGCCTCTCCTGGTGTTTAAAACCAACTTTTTGTTTGTTTTGCTCTTTTGATTTATTTTATTTTGAGTTGCTCTTGGTCAGAGCCTTGGTCTGCTATGGGCCGCTCTGTCCTAGTCGAAAGCAGAAGTCCTCCAGAGCTTATATTTGGATGCAACATTTCTTAGTTTTTCCACTCCAGCAGAATGCCATCAGGTTTTCATAAAAATATGCCCGCAAGTTTGCATTGAGAAGGCTAAAAAGGGCTAATTCCAATTTAACCCTGATATATGGGGGATATTGATCTGAATCCATGCCAGCAAGCTCAGTGTACATTCCTGATAACCTATAATTAAATCACCACCTCCTTCCCAGAAACTGGTTTTGCAGAACCTGTTACTGTGGAGAGAGGGTTATTAACACTGGTGCCATACCATCCATCAGATATGGCCTGGAGACCCCCACACCTGGGGGCCTTCTTGCAAAGCCTGAGGAAAGGACAGGAAACATAATCCATGTTTGTGGGATAAGGACCACAGGGAGCTTTAAAGGAAAGCCCCATGTATGTTCCTTCACTGAGATTTGGAAGGCTGTTCCCTGAGTCCGCCGGTGTATTAAACAGTGTCCCTCCTCTTCTTTGAAGCGTCTTTGGTTTCTTTGGTCTGCAACACCATCTCACTTCAGTCTCCTGGAGTCCCTCCATCCCAGCCCCAGGAGTGGTCCTCCTGTGGTATGTGCTGTGAGAGCCAGCAGCTTCCGGCTATAGGGCGAGCACTGGCAGGCCTGAGGAGCCGGCAGCCGGGGTTTAGGAGTGAGCCCAGCTGAAGCAGGATTACAGAGGCTTGCAGTTGGGGAAGGGAATTGAATGTGGCAGCACAGGCAAGTCGGGGATGGCAAATATGACCCCACGCTCCAGGGTCAGGGCGCACCCTGGGAAAGCATGGCACCCGCCTGTGTTCAGATGGGGACACGGAGATGCAGGGGAACCCAGAACATTAGCATCTGGGCTCAGGTCTGCTTTCCTTCGGCCCCAGGAGCCGACCTGCTCTCAGAGCCTGGGACCTGTGTGTGCCCAGGGCTGGAGAGGTCTTGTTTAGTCCCAGGGAAAGCCAGCTTGGCCGAGGCTGGAGGCTGCAGCCTCAGTGAAGAGGGCACAGGGCTGAGCGGAAGGGCCAGAGTGGAGCCTTGGGGACATGGTCCCATTCAACCTGGAAGCCTTGGGGGCCGACAGAAAAGGGCATGGAAGGAGATGGAGCAAGAGGGGGCCAAGCCTTTGGGGCCCAGGAGGGAGGAAGCAGGAGGGCTATGAGGGAGGAAGTGGGAGGGAGCCAAGCCTTCGGAGGGCCAGGGAAACTCCCTGCCAGCAGCTCAGTGGCCCCAGGAGGACATCTTAGCCAGGCCACGCGCAAACACTGCTGTGGTGTGGTTCGGAGCCTGTTTCGTGGTGTTCTTAACCGCCACTGCTCTGAGTGCACCATCAGCTGGCCTCTCTCTGCCCCCTGCCCCTCTCCACCCGCAGTTGCTGGGACCCCTCGGGAGACGCAAGCCAGCCCAGCGCTCATCTCTGGTGTTGGGATCAGGCAGGCTGGGTGATCCTGTGGACCGGGGTAGTGGACGGCGCTCGTGGAGTGGGAGGGTGGTGGGCAGCGGCGGGGGAGGGACAGTCGCTGTGGACCACATAGGAGGGTCCATTGCACTGCCTGTGCCGGGTCCCAGCAGGAAGCAGGGTGGGCAGCAGTCAGAACACGAAGGGAGTTTAATGAAGGACTTTACAAGGCACCAGTTCCTGCCCCAGAACCCATGCTGTCACCTTGCTGTGAAGGAGGTCTGGGGAGGGGGCTTCCTGGCAGCACGGGGACCCCGGCTCTGCTCTGGGGGACAGGCAGCCTGCTGGGTCCCTGCGGAGAGTGAAGCCAGGTTTGCACCCTCACCTCCGTGGCCCTCACCTGGGGCAGGGTGGGCTGGAGAGGGGCTATAGCAGCTGTGGGGAGAGGGCACTCCGTGGATCAGGTGGGAGCCTGGGACCTTTGCTGCCTGTGTCCTGGTCCCTGTGTGTCTGTCTGCTCACACTGGGTGGGGGTGGGAGTAAGGGAGGCCAATGGGTCCCAGCCCTGATTCCCTATGCTCTGGGTGCCAGGCCCTGGAGGTCCGAGTTGGAGCCTCCAGCTACGCTCCCCCCCCCCCCCCCCCCGACCTCACCCCCGCAACCTGGATCCGCCAGGGCAGGCCCAGCATCCCATCCTCAGGAGCTCTAGAGCCGAGCAGGGGTGTCCTCCAGTACCTCTTCTGCCTGCTTCTTGTGCCAGAAAATGTACCATCTGGGCCAGGAGAAGGCGGAAATGTGTCAATCCAGGAGCGGTGGGGCTGCGGTGGGGCTGCGGGGCTTGGGAAGGCACTTACCCACCTCCAGCTATGACTGCCAGGGAGAAAGTAACGCAGAGGCTCACAGCCCACAGGAGAGTCTGCTGGGTCCAGCCTGGGGGTGGGGGTGGGGGGGTGACAGAGGGGCCAGCGGTTTGGGGAGCAGTCAGGGGTGTCTTGGCTCAGAGAGAAAGCCACCCTCTTTCCTTGCTCCATTCACCCGCTCAGTCAATGTCTGCAACTCCTTACTGAGCACCTACAGACTCCAAGATGAATGAGACAGGCCCTGCCTCCAGGAGGGAGATTAGCAAACCACTGCACGTGGTGTCCGAGGGAGGCAGGACAGGGCGGGGCGGGAGCAGGAGGCTGAGGAGGCTGATGGGCCAGCCCAGGGGCGGGAGCTGGTCAGGGGAGGCTTCGTAGGAAGCAGGAGTCCTGGCTGACTTTGAAAGACAAGTGGGAATTCCATCCAGGCAAAGGGCACAGGAAGTTCAAGGACGGAAATATAAAGCTGGCCAGTGTGGCTGGGAGCCGAGCCGGGTGGCTCACACAGGGCCTCTGAGGATGGTGGACTTCATGGGGGAATCGGGAGCTACTGAAAGGTATCTACAGGGAGTGCCATCGGCAGGTTGTCTCTTGAGAAAAAGGTCTTTGATTGCTGAGAAAGATGTGCCCGGGAGGGTGCTGTCAAAATGCGGTGAGAGGTGAGGAGGCCCAGAAAAGAGGGTGGATGTTGGAATGAAAATATGTCAACACCTTAAAAAATCCTATCTAATAAAAGAGTAATGTGCAGATTGACCATCACTCCAACACACAATACCTGCTCCCATGTGGTTAAAGATCCTGCTCCTATGTGGACACAAGTTGGCCACCACAAGATGGCCACCATAAGATGGCCAGCAGGGGAGGGCAGTTGGGAGGCACCAGGCCTGTAGGGAAGGGCAGTTGGAGGCTATTAACCCTGCAGGGAGGGCATTTAGGGGTGACCAGGCTGGCCGAGAAGGTAAGTTGGGGGCAAACAGGCTGGCAGGGGAACAGTTAGACATCAATCAGACTGGCAGGAGAGTGGTTAGGGGGCAGGCAGAAGCAGTTAGGGGCAATCAGGAAGGCAGGAAGGCGAGCAGTTGGGAGAGGGATGTCTGACGATCGGTTTAGACCGATCCTGGGTGGGTCCTAGATTGGAGAGGGTGCAGGCTGGGCTGAGGGAATTTCGTGCACTGGGCCTCTAGTTATTTCATAAGCCTTGGTGGTTCAATGACTTGGGAAGGGGAGGGCAAGCTCTTAGGGGAGGCTGAGGTCTTAGGGTGGGGCCATTTGCTAAGAGAGCCCCGAGGGAAGAGCAAATCTGGGGGTGAAGGTGGTTTGGGCCGGTCTCAGCCTGCTGGCTCTATGGCGTCCAGGGACAGGCTCTGTAGTTCTGCAGCGGGATGTATGGACCTGAGGAATCTTGGTGCCACCTTCACAGTGACTAAGGAGAGCGAGTGCAGGGCTGGACAGAAGTGACAGGCAGTTGGGGAAGAGACAACAACGACCTGAGGGGGTTGGCTGGAGCTGGACGGGCCACTGGCCACTGACCTGGGCAGAGGGTGGGGTCTCTGCAGGTGAGGAGGTGTGCTCTGCAGGTGGCACAGCTGATGACTTCCAATTTGAAGGGTAGGGCTGAGGGAAGGGTGGGCAGGAGCCTTAGCGAGGGCCAAGTGCCCTCACCCTAGGCCCAGGTCCAGGCCCAGACCCAGGCCGGGCCCCCAGTACTCACCACAGGAGCTGTTGCAGGCTGTTGCTCGAGGGTGAGATGATGGAGAAACTGAGGTGCCAGGGAGGCAGACAGAGCCAGGCAGGGTGGGGTGTGAGCAGGAAGGGATGATGGGAGGTGTGGACAGGCACCCGGTAGGGGGCAGGGATGAAGGTGAGACTGGACTCTGCTCTCAGCCTCAGGGCTGGAGGCCGGAGAAGGGCTGGGTGTGGTGGGCAGCCCCTCTCACCCTGCTCCTTGAGCTCCTCATAAGCCTTGCTCAGCCTCTCAACAAACAGCTGCTTCTGGACGTTAACCTCATTCAGGAGCGATGGTTTGTCTGGCGGCATGGGGGGGAGGGGGGTATAGGCTGCCTGAGTCTTAGATCAGGTCAATCACGCAGCTGTCTCAGACTGGGAATGCCAACCAGCTCCTCTAGCATGGTCCCTGGAGGACGCCCCACACAGAGGCCGTGGCCCCTCAGCCCGCTCCCCCCTCCCCCCCCGGGACGAGTGGGCTTTCGGGGAGGCTTTGCGGGCCACACTCTGTCTCCCCGAAGCGGGCCCTGCGACACGCGGCCTCTCACCATTGCGGAACTTCCCAATGGCCCCGTCGATGTGATTGAATAACTCAGCTGCTTCTCGCTCCACATGCTCGTGCCCTGAGATGGGGCATGTGAGGAAGGAAGCCAGGGGCGTGAGCGCTCAGCCCAGGCGCAGGGCCAGCCTGCACCTCGGTCTCCACGAGGCACCTCACCCAGATACCGGGGCTCCGGTGGGACGGGAGCCTGCCGGAGCAGGGCCTGGAGGCTTAGGGAGAGCTCCCGGGGCGGCCCCGGCGGCCCCCACAGGACCTGCAGGTCATACTCCACCAGCAGCGGCAGCTCCGGCCAGCAGCGCAGGCAGCTCTTCCCGGCGCCGGTGGCCGGCAGCAGGCAGCCGAGCAGGACCAGCAGCATCTCCAGGCCTTCCCCCTGTTCCTCCACTGCTCCCAGTTCCACGTGGTACACCGGTCTCCCTGGAAACCACGTTGTTTCTTCAGAACAAAGGTAAATTCCGAAGGAAAGGCCAGGCCAGCGGTGGCAAGCACCGGGCTTTGGTGCCAGACCTGGTGCCAGACCGCAGCCCTCTGAAGATACCTGCCCGGAGGTTTCCGTGCTGCTCTGAGCTGCTCAGCTCTCCCGGTGGCATTGCCCCGTGCAACACAGCCTCCCAGGCTGGACCAGGAGCGTCGGAGGGAGCAGCACAGAGAGGGCGAGCTGGCAGGAACTGAGCTCAGCCCCCGGGCAGCCTGCGGCGGGTGCCTTTGTCAACATGCGTGTGCAGTGGCAGCAGCCTGGCGGTGGCCCGGACAGAGGGCATAGACAGCTCCCCGGCACAGTGGAGGCAGCCGGCACTCAGCCAGGCGGGAAGCATGGTGAGCAGCCGTCTTTGGGGCAGCCGTTCTGATGTGCAACAGGCACTGAAGAAAAGCTGACGCCCTCCTCTCAGTGAAGAGAGCCGGTGGGATCCTGTCACTGCCCAGCCGGCCAGCCTTGCCCTTCTATCCAGGCTCCACCCCCTTCCCAGAACCTCAGCCTGGATGAAGGGCGGCTGAAAGCCACCAGGCATTTGAGGAATACTGCTGATGGGAACAAGAGACAAAAATTAGAGTAAAGATTCCAAACAGAAGCAAAGGAAAACCACAGGAAAAGTGAAGGTGCAAAAATACACCGTGGGAAGCAGAAGACTACTCCAAAAGCCGCAACCATCAGGTAAGGATTGCCTTTCCCAGACAGGAGGAGGCTGCTATGTAAAAGCAAAAGGCACGGATTAATAATATGAGTGCAGGGCCCGGCTGGGGTACTCAGTGGTTGAGCATCAACCTATGAACCAGGAGGTCACCGTTCGATTCCCGGTCAGGGCACATGCCTGGGTTGCGGGCTTGATCCCCAGTGTGGGGCGTGTAGGAGGCAGCTGACCAATGATTCTCTCTCATCCTTGATTTGTCTCTCTTTTCCTCTCTGAAATCACTAAAAATATATTTTAAAAAGTATGATTGCAGGGATTTAAAAATTCCATAGAAGTACTGGGAGATAAAGTTGCAGAAAACCCCAGACAGAAGTATAAAAATAAAACAATACAGAGATGAGAAACAGGAAAAAGATGAAATTAGATAATCAATCCATGCAATGTCCAGCAAACACAAATTTCAGAAGGGAAGAACAGAGAACACAGAGAAGAGGGGATCAGTTATAAAGACTTGGGGTGAAGAAGTATACACAGGGGTACAGTCTAGCGTAGGGGACTGGTGCAGAGGTTCACTAGTCACCTCGGAGCAGAGAGCAGTGGAGGCGGTAAATTCTGGCTGCGCTGGTCAGCTGGGCTCTGAGGTGGGAGGACGGCTCTGAGTACCGCAGAGCTGTTGCTTTCCCACCGGCCTTAGGTGGTTTGGGGTAAGGGGTTGGCCTGCTTTAATCTACTTGGGCAATGCTGGAGAGGAAGGCCCTGACTCCCTGAGCCACAGCTGGGAAAGCGGTGCTGCCTCCCATGATGCCCTGGGTCGGGTTCAGTACACAGGCACGAAGGCCTGTTGCTTACGGTATTTGCCATCTCCTCTGAGGTGGCCCCAGAGTGTGTGTATGGGAGGAGAAAACAGGGAACTAATAGAAGTGAAAAAGAAAGGTTTTAGAACTCAAAGGCCTGCTGAGAAGGCATCGAGGGCTAGGAATGAGAAACACCACACTAAAGCGCAGAGGGAAAACAGGCCATGTACAGTGGCCCAGTGATCAGAACGTCTTCAGGCTTCTCAAGAGCAGGATAGGAAGCATTAGACAATGCTTCCACATTCTGGGAAAAATGTCCCGTCTTAGACTTCTCTACTCAATAAAGCATCAGTCAAGGAAGAAGAAAGACAGAGGCTATTTCTGTCAGGCAAGCTTTAAATGAACTTCTGTCTTTTCTCAGAAAGTGATGAAAGGATGTGCTCCAGCTAAAGGAGCAAACCATGCAAGAAAGATGATGCAATGAAAGTCAGGAAAAGGAGCCTAATCCTGCAGAGGGGTGAAGAAAACTATGTGACAGTCAAGGCTCACCTCAGGAGGCGGTCCAAGCTGTTGGCTCTTCCTGGGGGCAGACAGGTCTGGAGTGGGTGGCCTAGGTCAGCTCCCTCATGGCTTTGGGTTTCTTACTTGGGCTTTTGTTTGGGGTGAAATAATGAGAGTAGGTCTTTAGAGTGAGGTTTGAGGTAAAGCCCAAGAGTCCCCTTTCCCTCAGTTGATTTTTTTTTTTTTTGAGAAACCCGAGAGAAGGGCAGAATTTGGGTGTCACCTTGTGACCCAATTCCATCTCAATTCAACTGCAGCTCTTAGCATCAGTTGGATAATGTGATCCTGGCTCTTCCAAGTGACATTTAAATGTAAGTTACAGTAATTATGGGATGGTGGAGATTTTAATCCAACCCAATGCCTGTGGTTGACAGTTCTTCACCTACTCATTTTCTAGTCTCCATTTGCTTGTCCTGATTTCTTCTCTTATTTCTAGTGTAAGTCAATTCCATGTTGTGCACTTGGCAGTAATTAGGAATTTGGAATGAATTAGTACCAATAATAAAGGCAGCCTTTTCTATTTTCTAGGCATTTTGTTGAGATAGTATGCATCAATTTGAGATCATATCCATCTTTTGTGCTTTCAGTCACTTGGGCATGTTTAATACCTTTGACATAAGACAGACCATTCAGTTTGAAGGCAGAAATCAAGCTGCTTCTTTTGAGGCCAAATATCATCTATCCAATCCAAGAGTTCCTTTAGGTTCCCATCTGAGAATCTGGTTTCATGGCATGAAAAATTCTGGTGGTTCACTTCTACCTTCTGATCACTCTCCTCTCAAACCACCCCTGTTTGCCTTGCAGAGCTGGTGTTGTGTCCTCCTGCTTCCTCAACCAGTACAGATTTCCACGCACACTAGCTTCCTGTTGCTGCATCACTAATTATCACAAACTCAGTGGCCCGAAGCATATCCATCTGTCACCTCCTGGAGTTCGGGCTTGGCTTGCTCTCTCCTCTGGATCTCCCCAGCTGAATTGTGATGTTGTATGTCATAACCTGGTCACAGGTGTGAAGCTCCTCATGCTCACAGTAGGCCTCATGCTCAAGGGGAGAAGAGTGTACGGAGTGTGTACAGAGGACAGGCATGCTGGAGACTATCTCAGAATTTGTCCTACTACACCCCAAAACCCAAATGTCTATCCTTTGGACCTTTAATGGTGTCACCAGCTCCCCTTCCCACACAACTAGTCATCAGTTTGGGTTAGAACATTGTTGCATCTCGGTATGCAAGTAAGTTAGTTGGAGGCATAGCTGCGATGTTAGTATGCTGCCACTAACTACCAGGGGTGAGTGCGTATGCATACGACTGCCTCACATCAGACACCAGCTACCCGTTCTGGGCTCTCAGCCCACCTTCACTTCTGACCCACTGACTACACACATATGGGTTCTCATTGGCCCCTGAGCTTTGGTAATTCACTAGGAAGGTTCATGGAACTCAGGAGGGTATGGTACTTATGATTACAGTTTTACTATAAGGATACAAATCTCAAGCAGCCAAAGGAAGTGCCACACAGAGAAAGTCTGGAGGGTCCCAATGGGAAGCTTCTGTGCTTTTGGGATTTGCCATCCTTCTGGTACATTGATGTGTATCAACAACCAGGAGCTCACGTGAGCCTCAGTCCCATAATCTTTATTTGGTTTCATTATATAGGTGTGATTAAGGCTTGAATCATTGTGTGATTGAACTCAGTCTCCATCTCCCCTTTTCTGTAGGTTTGGCTGATGTCACTTAACTCAAAGTCCCAGCCTCTAATCACCTGGTTGGTCTTTCTAGCCTGGCCAGCCCCCATTCTAAGTCATTGCCTTAGCATAAAGCCAGCAATGAGTCTACCATATGTAGCAAAGACAATCCTACCACTCAGAAATCGCAAAGATTTAGAAATGAAGACTGGAACCAGAGAGGAAGGCCGACAGCATAGGAAGTCATTATTGCTCATGAATGTTCTGGCTTGCATTCACAAGGACCCAGGCTTGGTGCTGCTTCTGGGGTCTCTCGGAATCTTCTAAGAGGTTTTTAAGTTTCAGGTACACGCTTTTGACTCAAAGGGAGTGAGATGTGGGGATAGTAAGATAGCAGCAGGGGAAGATTAGGGACAAGTAAAACATTACGAGGGCATCCGTCTTCACAAAGTGCAGGACCAAATTAACTCACACTCTCTTAGAGGTTATTGACCTGTAAATTCTCTCCCATTGTTACGAGAAACCTTGGTGGAGAGTCGGCTTGATAAATCCAAGAGGCTGGTATCTATTTAATCAATGACTTTACAAGAGGTAAGATTTAGCTGTTTGATTTTTTTAATAAAAAAAATTAGAAAAAATTCATCACCAGATGACCCATTATAAATAAAATATTCATTTCATTATCTTTCTGGTTAAAACTCATGTCTTGAAATGCTTTGTTGTAGCTACTTAAATGATCAATGAGGTGCCCCGGGGGATTTCTCCTGCAGAATTGGTTGGTAGAGAACATTAAAATTGCATGCAGCCACTTTTGTGATTTTAATAACATTCAGGAGAACTTTGACTGGAATTAGGAGCTTAAAGTGCAATGCTTCTTCTGGGAAAGGTTGAGGACACTGCCTTTGGTGTTCAAGGAGGCCAGTCAAGAAACCACAGGGCATGCTCCTGTTTGCCCTGACAGCTGGGCAGAGGCATTCTCCCCACAACCGGGGGCCATGGTCAGCGGGGTCTGTGAACAATAAGCTCTGGCCATTGCCTGCAGCTCTGGGACAGTCCTGTTGGTCTACAGACGAGCACAGCTGACAGAATAAGCATGGCCAACAGAACGCGTGGCCCCCACACTCCTCTTAGGGGTGAGCTGAAGCCCAAAGGGGGACCTGATGAGGGTTCCAGTTCAGACCTGTGCTTT